CTCTCTCTCGTCTCACACACACACACACACACACACACACACACACACACACACACACACACACGATGTGTGTCTCTGTCTCTATCTGCCATGCTGTCTCCCCTCCCTCCATCCGTGCTGCCTTGTAGAGTGTGAGGCTACATTAACAACAATGGGTTAACCCTTGAGGGCTCAGCCGAGTGCTAGATTTAGCAGTAAGGTATTCCCTGGGAAATATCCCACCCTCTTCCACCCTCTGACTTCACCCCCTCAACCAAGCTTCATAATCATCATTGCTGTGTACAGTATTAAATTGTTTAAAACTTATACTGTGTGTATGTATCTATCTATATATATATATATAGTCTTTTGTCTGGTGAAAAAAATTTCCCTGGAACCTAACCCCCCCATTTACATTAATTCTTATGGGGAAATTGGATTCGCTTAACATCGTTTCGCTTAAAGTTGCAGTTTTCAGGAACATAACTACAACGTTAAGTGAGGAGTTACTGTAATGGCATAGAGAGTACACTTATAAAGTTTGTGGACGATACCGAGCAGGGAGGGGTTGCAAGTGCTTTGGAGGCTAGGATTAAAATTGAAAATGAGCTGGACAAACTGGAGAAATGGTCTGAAGTAAATAGGATGAAATTCAATAAGGACAAATGCAAAGTACTCCATTTAGGAAGGAACAATCAGTTGCACACATACAAAATGGGAAATGACTGCCTAAGAAGGAGTACTGCAGAAAGGGATCTGGGGGTCATAGTGGACCACAAGCTAAATATGAGTCAACAGTGTAACGCTGTTGCAAAAAAAACTAACACAATTCTGGGATGTATTAGTAGGAGAGCAAGACAGGACAAGTAATTCTTCCGCTCTACTCCGTGCTGATTAGGCTTCAACTGGAGTATTGTGTCCAGTTCTGGGTGCCATATTCCAGGAAAGATGTGGACAAATTGGAGAGAGTCCAGAGAAGAGCAACAAAAATGATTAAAGGTCTAGAAAACATGAGCTATGAGGGAAGATTGAAAAACATGGGTTTGTTTAGGCTGGAGAAGAGAAGACTGAGAGGAGACATGATAACAGTTTTCAAGTACCTAAAAGGTTGTTACAAGGCGGACTGAGAAAAATTGTTCTCCTTAACCTCTGAGGATACGACAAGAAGCAATGGGCTTAAATTGCAGCAAGGGAGGTTTAGGTTGGACATTAGGAAAAACTTCCTAACTGTCAGGGTGGTTAAGCACTGGAATAAATTGCCTAGGGAGGTTGTAGAATCTCCATCATTGGGAATTTTTAAGAGCAGGTTAGACACACACCTGTCAGGGATGGTCTAGAAAATACTTAGACCTGCCATGAGTGCAGGGAACTGGACTAGATGACCTCTCGAGGTCCCTTCCAGTCCTATGATTCTATGATTAATATCAATAGCAATTTCTGGTAATGAAATGTCCATTACGTCGGTTAAGCCAGTGGTTCTCAACCAGGCGTTGGGGGCCCCCTAGGGGGATCGCAAGCAGGTTTCGGGGGGGGTCCGCCAAGCAGGGCCAGAATTAGGCTCGCTGGGGCCCAGGGCAGAAAGCCGAAGCCCTGCCGCATGGGGCTGAAGCCGAAGCCTGAGCAGTGTAGCTTTGTGCGGGCCCCTGTGGCATGGGGCCCCAGGCAACTGCCCTGCTTGCTATCCCCTAACGCTGGCCCTGGCCTTTGTATGCAGAAAAGCACTTGTTGTGGCACAGGTGGGCCGTGGCATTTTTATTGCATGTTGGGGCGGCCTCAGGACAAAACAGGGTGAGAACCCCTGCGTTAAGCAACTAAAATGGACTCAGTCGCTTCCAGAGCTGTCCATGTGTTTCCCATCACTCCTAGGCAATGCCAGTAAAGGACCGATCTTCATCGGTGTGTCTCCAGCTGCCCATGGCTCCAGCAGGCAGAGGTGCCCAACCCTAGCGCAACCGAGTGCCCGTCATTAGGGCCTGATTCGGTGAGGTGCTGAGAATCCTCAACCCCCCCATTAGCTTTGGTGGAGGTTGCGGCTGCTCAGTACCTTGCAATAGCAACACCCAAGCTTGCAGACCAGGAGACCGCAGCTGCCATTTTTGTCTTTAATACAGAGGTGGCGTGCGGAGACTGCAAGTCCCAGCATGCAAAGCTGCATAGTGAACCCAGTGGCTAGAAACCATACTGTCTTCTGGACTTTTAATCCTTTTCTACCCCAAACAATTGGCTCCCACCTCCCTCGCGCGGCGCTTCGGGAACCTGGAGCCAGAGCACTATCTGAGGCATCAGTTTGGTGAGCCATTCACCAGTGTCTCACGTTCTTTCTGTTCTCTTTGTGTTCCCAGCTGATCCTGACACTGGCTTCATCGCTGGAGCAAGTTGAGGTAAGAGGAGTTGCTTGTTTTTTAATCTCCAAGCTGTTTCCGAGCGGCGAAACGGGTCTGGGGCGTTCCCTCCGGACAGCAGGAGGCCCAGGCTGTGTTTCGGGAGGATTCTTTCCTTCATTTCTTTCTCTCTTTCATTCACGCTCTGCTCCTCCCCACTGCCCCAGAGAAATCCAGGTGACGAGGGAACAGTCTTCTTTCCTCCTGCCCTGATAGGGGATTGACAACAAAACCCGTGGGAGGGGAAGTGAAAGCGTTTGCCATTTGCTTGTGACAAACGGCCGAGCTCTAGTGGTGCAGCAGCGAGCACCCCTCCGTTCCAGGGGCTGCAGAGATAAGTCCAGGATTTCTACCGTCCTGGGGACTGACTGGTGTCACAGATCCCAGCGAGTGCCCCCTTCCAGCCACTGAGACGCTGCTGTTCTGTATCCCCGTGTTTCAAGCCCCTGGGACCTGAGTGGAGTCCAGCCACTGCCCCAATCTTGGGGTCCCTAGGCGCGCTCAGACCGCAGACCCTCTGTCTGGCAGACCCTCTGAGGGCTGGAACCCATTGTCCAGCTGCCTAACTGCTCCGGGCACGGCCCTGACCCCAGTAATTAAACACACCCCTCGGCCAGAACTTCACCGTGAAGCTTTGGGTTTACAGTTTCTCTCTCTCAGGGGCATGCAGTGGTGACACAGCCAACAAGCACACACATTGCCAGCCTAACATTGGCATGCTGTCTGCATCGAATCATGCAAATCACAGGCGCATCCGAAACAATAAAACACCCTAAACGCCACGTCCCTTCCTAGCTCAGCCTGCTCCTGTGGGCCTTGGGGGATCACCTGTGTTCTGGCAGGCCGGGGCCGCTACCCCACCTCTGCCGCAGCCTCCCGCCCCTCATCTTAATCTGGTGCAAAATGTCTCTCCTAGTCCCTCCCCATTCCCCCGGGGTGAGTCCCTTTAGCGGTTCCTGCTTCTTTCGTTCTCTTCCCGGTAACGTCCATTCCTCTCAAACCCCCTCCCTTCAGACAAGAGAAGCCAGCTAGACCAAACCCATTGTCCCGAGGTGTTCGCCTTTGCTAGGCAAACACCTCGGGACAATGGGTTTGGTCTAGTCTAGCTGGTTGATCACTCGCCGTTGTCTCTGGCCTGGCAGAGACATAGAATCACAGAATCATAGAATATCAGGGTTGGAAGGGACCTCAGGAGGTCATCTAGTCCAACCCCTGCTCAAAGCAGGACCAATCCCCAACTAAATCATCCCAGCCAGGGCTTTGTCAAGCCTGACCTTAAAAACCTCCAAGGAAGGAGATTCCACCACCTCCCTAGGTAACCCATTCCAGTGTTTCACCACCTCCTAGTGAAAACGTTTTTCCTAATATCCAATCTAAACCTCCCCCACTGCAACTTGAGACCATTACTCCTTGTTCTGTCATCTGGTACCACTGAGAACAGTCTAGATCCATCCTCTTTGGAACCCCCCTTCAGGTAGTTGAAAGCAGCTATCAAATCCCCCCTCATTCTTCTCTTCTGCAGACTAAACAATCCCAGTTCCCTCAGCCTCTCCTCATAAGTCATGTGCTCCAGCCCCCGGATCATTTTTGTTGCCCTCCGCTGGACTCTTTCCAATTTTTCCACATTCTTCTTGTAGTGACACCACCCCGCTGACTCCTGGGGATCCGCCCATATACAGGCCTTCGGCCACGCATGAAAGCAGACAGGACCCCCAAATCGTCACCACTGGCTCAGGAGCTGGCAAGCTGGAAACTTGTAGCTGGCTGCCACCCGCTGATTGCCAGATTGGCTGCCCAAGGGTTCCTCAGACTGCGGGACCTGGAGCAAGTGAAGCGAGGAGAGGCGGGAACTGTCTCAGGCAGGTTCCAGGAGCCCCACTCCTCGAGTCACTGGCCAGGACAAAGCAGGGAGGAATACGCCGTCGGGGCCAGACCACCCCTGGGGCGATGGCAATTCCACCCTCACTTCGCTGCTTCCACAGCTCTGCCCGTGGAGCAGGTTTCCTCCTGATTATAATGAACCAAATACACAATAAGCTCTCAACAAACTGCACTACACAGACACTCACTCTTGAATAGCCAGAGAGAGGTCAAAGGTGAGACTAGGAGCCAGATGTCCGAGTTTCTGGCATGACTGTTCGGGGGGGGAGGGGGGGGAATTAAGGCTGTAGCCCTGTGGGACGCTGCATCAGGAAAAAGCAGCCGGGCCGGGGGGTGGGGTGGGGGGGTGTCACTGAAATAATCCGCCCTTTTCTGAGGAATTCCTAAGGCGCCCATCAGTGCAAGGCCTAAGGGCTGGCTCCGGGAGCTTAGATTTCTGCAGTGGTGCTCATGGTCCATCAGAGCGAATCCTAGTGAACCAGGCTGCACCAGCACCTGTGAGCTCCCAGTGCCCCGTGGAAACCCTGTCAGAGCGACAGCAGCCTGGAGCTCAGCCCTGTCTCCTTCCCGCGTAGGTGCCGTTCGAGTGCAGCCTGCCACCGGAGCTCCGTTTGCAGCTTTACCGGACCCAGGACTTCAAGTGGCCTTCAACCACCGTGCTGGAAGTCAACAAAGCTGCTTATGTCCAGGTACTGGGCATCTCTCCCGCCTTTGCTGGGCCCGGCTGGCGCCAGGCTCGGCTGGGCTGAGTTCATGAAGCCAGGCGAGCAGCTAGAAGGCTCCAGGCCACTTGGAGAGTGGCTTTGCCTAGCCTGGCCCTGTACCTTGGTGTGTTTGTTCCCTGCTGTGTCTGTAGAGTGAGGGATGCCTTGGGAATGGGGAGTTAGTGCAGGAGCCTCTTTACCCATGGAAAGCTGGGATGAAATCCCAGAGGGGCTCTGCGGCTACAATTCATTTGTGGCCCTCCTCGAATGATCCCCCCGGCTTGGCAGGCTTTGGCTGAGTGAGGCCCAGGCCAGCACTCACTGTCTGGGCTTCAAAGCAAGCATTGGCCTAGCGGTGGAGATGCCCACGCTGACATGCGTTGGAGGCAGAGTGAACCAGGCTTGAGGGGTGTTGGCAGAATTGTGGGAGCCGAGACCTGGAATAACAGGGGGCTGCGGCTCGGCCCTGAGGGGTTCTGGTGGATGTGGGGGGCTGTGACAGGTGTAGCCCCCCCGGTCACTCAGCTAAATGCCTCACGGAGACGATTACAGGTGTGATGGAACCAATGAAGCGGGTCTGGTGGGGACGGTTGCCCTGTGGGGGCAATGGTTGGTCTGCTGAGGTAATTAGCTCAATCAGGAGCAGCGATATAATTGGCAGGAGCAGGAAGTGTGCGGGGCAGGGCTGGAAGAGTGAGGTGGGCAGGGCAGAGAAAGTGCGGGGTGGGGGGCGGCTTGTCCTGCCACACGCCCACACTATGTTCCGCAGGGCTTGGCATCGAAAGATCAAAGGTGCCGATGGGCAAAAGCAACGGCCTGTGTGTAAGAGACCGTGCAAATGGGCCAGGCCCCGGGTAGCTGAGCCAGCGCCCTGGGACAGGGCTAGGACAGGAATAGCCCCGGGGAGGGGACGGGGATCAGGCTGCAGCTCAGGATGAAGGGTAGTTGGTAGAGCTGGCGTGGGAAGGAGTTTGCATGGAGCCAGCGGCACTCCCCTGCCTTATGCTACTCACACAAGTAGTGTGTACGGGAAGGGGAGAGCAGCTCCTTGGAAGTGAATTCGGGGGGAGAGCTAATTGCCAAGGACGGCATGTGAACATAGACCTGTTCCTGGGCCCATCTGACCTGTCCCAAACTCCCTCTCCGTGCCCCACCCAGCCTCACTCCCTGTGTACAGGGTACAGTCTGACCGAGGCTGTTCCTACAACCAGCCCTCCGCCTGTATCAGCCTCTGGCTTCCTACAGCCACAAGAGCATTTGGGACAACCCGCTCCAGTCACCCGCCCTGCAGTGCGAGGTGGGAGTGCCATGCAGGCAGAGCTGGGCCAGCCCAGCTCAAAGTAGCCCGGTAGACATGGCAGCACAAGCGTTGGTGCAGGCGAGCAGCATGCGTACGTACCCTGGAGCGCTTGCACACCCATGCTGAAGCCCGCCCTGCTGCATCTACACTGCTGTTTTCAGCTGTGTCGCGGGGGTCTGGCTGCACAAACCGCAACGCACTTGGGCTTACGGTGGGGACATTCCCCCAGGGAGAGAGTGTCACTGTGTTAGATGGAGACAGACTGTGCCACAGAATGACCCCAGTCATACTGTGCCTGTAGGTATACACAAGGTACAGTACCTTGCCCCAGTTAGGGGGGTACAGAGTTGTAAAGGGTTTAGCACATTCCCACCTTGAGTGCAGGGGAAGCGATGACCTCCTTCCTTAGAGGTTTTTAAGGCCCGGCTTGACAAAGCCCTGGCTGGGATGATTTAGTTGGGAATTGGTCCTGCTTTGAGCAGGGGGTTGGACTAGATGACCTCCAGAGGTCCCTTCCAACCCTGAGATTCTATGATTCTATGATTCTCTGACCTATCGAGGTCGCTTCCAGTTCTGCACTACACTTCTATGATAATCAGGTCTTGGCTGACTCAGGCTTAGATCTTAGTAGAATGTTTTGTTAGAGTAAAGATGATAACATATCACTTAGCAACCTGGATCGTGTCAGAAGGCTCTGCCAGCCGGAAACAGAGCCATTCGGCTTGGTGTCTCTCTGATTTCCACATCCCGTCTGTAAGCATTTGATCCTTGGTGACGGGTGCTGATAGCTCATCGGGGCCTTCTGGCTGGGGAAGGTAAATAACTCGCTTTCCTCTCCACTGTTCTCTTTGCGCCAGGATACACAGTGCGTGTCAGACAATTGGCAGGGAACGGGTTCTTTGATTCCAGATGGTTCGGGCTGGCCCCTCCCTCTTCCCCTCCATCCACAAATCAGGTTTAGGGGTCAGTGTCTATCAGGGCTAATCACTTTTCCCAAACAAGGTGGCTCCAGCCTCTTCATGTGGTCATAACTTCCTGCTCAAACTCTTCTGGCTCAGGAATTAGGACTGTAGATTTCCTGACCGTTTATCAGTCAGATGAAGGGCTGTCCGCAAACCCACTCTGTGCAAACTCTGCCGGCCGTGTGGCTGTCATCAGCCTGTCCCAAAGCCCAGAGAACCACGGCAGTCGTTGGATCCGGCCCGTACAGCCCGGCGCTGTCTGCGCAGAGGGATCAGAGCCAGGCCAGCTACGGCTGCACATTAAACACTGCAGTTGCAATGTGGGTTCTGGTACATTGGCCCAGACCAGAGTGGACAGGGAATTACTATGGTCTGAAGCCATAGAAACCCAAGTGAAAGGCAGTGGACTAACTCGGCAGGCAAAAAACATGTTGTGCAGTCAACAAAGCCTTAATCCCCAGGGGTGATGCTTGTATCACGAAAGCAAAGTCTCTCACCACTGTGGGGCTCAGCTGTCCTGTGGCCACCGCGTGTGGTGGTCCCCTGACTCAGCAGCATCTTCCCCTCTCTCACTGTCCTGCAGCCAGATCACAGCCTTCCCCTTGAGCACCTGGGCTGAGCTAGAGGCACCCCTGGTGCCATGGGGAGCAGGTACCCTCTGTAGATTCCTTGGGAGGTGGGTACCAAAGGGCTGGTGTCCATGGCATGGTGGTGGCCAAGGTCTCCAGCATCCGGCCCACCTCCCGCTCTCTCTGCTTTTCCTGGTACACGCACTGACTGCACCCAGCATTGTTTGGCAGATCCCCTAACGCCCACGCCTTTGACAGAGCTAGTGGGCAATGAAGGTTTATTCTGCTTCTGCCATCCTTCCAATCCCTTCCTTCTGGGCGATGGTCCCTTCCACCTGGCTGCGCAGGCCTGTTACTCCAGGGCGGGCTTTGCCGCGCCATCGCCCAGCGGGAAGTGACTCTGCAGGGGAGAATCGGGAGCGATAACCCCAAATTCACAAGGCCAAATGAAAAGCAAAGAGAAATTAGAGAGAGGATTATCCTGTAAAGAGTGGGTGAGAAGCAACCCGCCTCGGGGTATAGTATGGCTCAGGTACCGCTGGATGGGCTAGACAGTTGTGTTACAGTGGGTCTGGTGGGTGGGGCGGGGCGGGGCGGGGCAGAGGATTGCTGTCTGTGCTGGTGACAGAAACCCTGCTAGCACTCTGCCACGCCAGTGGTGTGTAAACATGGTTGGAGTAGCCCCGTTCTGATCCCAGTGTGGACAGAGCTTCATTGCGTCCAGGACCCATGCCTCAGAGAAGCACCCACCCAGGCCTGCGGGTGGTTGTACTCACCCATGAGGAAGCCACATCATCGACTGGAGACTGGGGATCGGGGCTGGCTTGCCCCCTCCAGTCCTCAGCTGGTACGTGGGGGGATCCTTTGGCTTCCTTCCCTGCCAGCCCAGATCCGGAGCTGAGGTACAACCCCCGAGACCTGCTAACCGAACTCCTGTCCTCCTGCTGCCCCTCTGCAGGTCTCATTTCGGGCCGGGAGTGCCCAGAGGTTCCTGGACGTGAAGGAGTGTTCTCTGCAGACTGCTACCGAGGAACCTCAGCAGCTCCTGATCCCGCCTGTCGCGCCACTTGGCCAAGCAGTGACCGTCCTCAAGCCGACAGAAGCCACGCTGGGCCGGGAGCTCCATCGGTTCAGCTTCGTCTACAGCCTGGCTGGGGGAGGGCCCTTTCCACCTTGCGCCACCCTGTCGTGCAGAGTGGCCTGGCATGTCAACGTGAGTGTGGGGGCCGTCTCCTTCACGGGCTCCCCCAGGAGGCCTGGCCCAGGACCCTTTGCCCATCTGTCGAGCGAGGGGGCTGTTCCCACTGCCCCAGCCGAGGGTCCAGGGATTCCGTTCCCGTGTCCCGCTGGCTGGCTGGCTGCTGGCGTGCAGCTCTCTCCCATTCCCGACACCAGACGACACACATAAGGCTGGGTGGAGGTTAACGGGGCCTAGCTCTCGCTGCACCGCCCTGCCAAGCCGAGGGGTTTGCACTGGATCGCAGGGTGCAAACTAGCCCCAGTGTCCCTGCCTCCGGGCCACTGCCGTAGCCTTCGCACGGGGCACGAGCCGGGGGTGACGTCGCCTCTTTGTTCCCAAGAGCAGCGGAGCCACAGCCAGGGGCGCGTAGTGCCCCTACTGGCCAAGCGCCCCAATGTACGTTAGAAACAGGAACGAACCAGGCTTCGCACCAGTCCTGGGGCTCGGTATCCCCATTTACAGAGGGAGAAATTGAGCCACAAGGAGGGGAATGAACCCCTCCCCCCGGTCACCGGGTCACTGGTCCTGTGACAGAGCCAGGGATAGAATCCAGGTCTCCTGCCTCCCTGGCCTGCACCTTAGCCACAAGGCCAGGGGTCTCTTCCCAGGGTGACGCCATGTGCTCACCCCTCCTGCTATAGCCTTGGGACCGGCTGCTGGGGGGTACTCGGGGCTCTCTCTCTGGGCGGGGCAGAGATGTGCGCAGCTTATCTTAACCCTCTTGGTTTTCTTCTCAAAATCACAGGGCAGCACCAGCGTGGCAACATTAGAGGTGACGCTGCAGGACACCAGACCTCCACCTTCCAGTGAGTTCACGATCTCCTTGTCATGTTACGTTGGGCCAGAGCTGAGAGCTGGAGCTGAGCCACCCAGTGAGGGTGGATCGGCACAGAGCCCAGCCTGCACGTCCGTTCGATTGTCCCTGGTGCAAGGTGCAGGCACACGTGGGAGTGGGTGGGAGCAGAGAGTGTCCCATGGTCCTTGCCGAGTTTCAGTTCGATGAAGGATCTTCTGGCAGGATTAACGCCTTCCCTCGGCTGGAGAATGGGAACTGGGTTAATGGGGACTGGAGTGAATAGACAGGAGAGAAATACCGGTTCAAAGAGAAATGTGGTTGCACCCATAGAAATGGGGAAAGGAGTGATTGCAGATGGGACGCCTGGTAGTTGGGAAGCAATGCCCAGGAGGGGACAGCAGGACCCAGGGCGCGGTATGTTCCTCACCGAAAGGGGAGGCGCTTGAATGACGGTGAGACGTGGCAGTGCTGCCTTGCTAGCATGTGAGATACGGACGAGGCCTCCGTGTGTGGAACTCCACGGGCCAGAGGCTGGTGGGATCCGTCCTGAGAACTGGCCATCGCAGGGTGCGTGGCTTGTCCAGGCTGCAGCAAGTGAGATGCCTTCATCCTGGTTGGGGCTAGGAGGCGAGGGGTCAGTCTGGCACTGAGCCCAAGACTTAACACAGGCTTTTCCACGGAGCCGTCCCGCTGGCGCTCTTATCAAATTCCTGGCAGCTTCCTTCTGCTTTTCGTCTCGTCATTTCTCCTTGGTCTGCATTCCCTGCTGTGGCTGTTGTGACAGAGCCGTGCGATGTGTCAGCCGGGCTCCCTAGAGAGGGGTTAGGGGTTGCGGCCGGGCCAGGCACTGACCTACAGGAAGTTGTGTACAGTGACTGTGCACCAGTTGTCTGTGCAGGATAACAGGCTGCGGGGGGCGGGGAAGGGAAGCGAAGTTCTGATGTGAGCCAGAGCCCATGTAAACTTGTCTTGGTGTGATAGGAAACAGCCCAACTTGGAGAGGACTCAGTCAAAAGAGCCTGGTGGCAATTGGATGCAGAATCCTTTACTTCCTGTCCCAAACTCTTGTGTAGCTTTCCTATGTTGCTGTTAAACAGCAGCCGTGTCTCACCCCAGAGGTAGCTGCATTTCACTGATGCGTGTAGTGATTCCTGTAGCTAGCATTTGTAAAGTGACTTCGGGTCATTCTGAACGAAGGATGCTGCATGGATGTAGAAGACTTATTAGTCCAGTTTGGTGTTTGCATTTAGTATCAACCACTTCATTTTTATCCTCCCCGCAAAATCCTGGAAATCAGAATCTCTGTGTGAGAAAAGCTCTTTGGAGGAGTTGATCTCTGATAGACAAATATAGTGTGGCCAAGCCTTGCCATTTTAATGCGGTCGGGTGACGGTTAGAGTTTGTCTTCAAGCTCCAGCTCCTGGAGTCATAGGATGGAGGTGACAGGCTCGGCTTTCATTACAAACCAGGACGTTTCTGGCTCTGGTGGCTGCAGAGAAAAGCTAGACAGCGTGACCCCTAACATCTCAAAACCCAGCAGGCAAAGCCAAGACCCTGGAATGTGTTTGGGGGGGCCTGGCGCATGATTTCTGAAGCTTTGGCGTTGGCGATGTTGCACAGAGCTTTGTGTGAGGGCAGAGTGCTGGTGAGCTCGCTGGGGCAGGAGCTGTGCCTGCGTGTGAACAGCCCCTGGCATGGGGCAGGTGCTTCCGAAAGACACAGACTTGGGGATGATAATGGACAGGTGACTTCAGCCCCTGAGAAGCAGTTTCCTTGCGTGCCAGTCTCCCCTGGCTGAACCTTCCAAGCAGCCGCGAGGGAGGCGTCCTGCTGATGTCTCCAATAGCAGTTATTTTTGCAGTCGCTCCATGCGAGGGAGCGTGGCACATCTTCCTGCCCAGCTGAATCCTTTCCAGGCAGGAATGAATCTTCAGCGCCATCCAAGAATGGATGATTTCCTGCTTTCCTCCCACCTTGGTCCCCTCTTCCTGCCTCTGTTTGCTCAGCTCCCCCAGGACGGCAGCACAACAAAGCAAGGAAAGGCTTTTGACACGAGCGAGCCCTGACTGGAATTCGCTCCGCACATCACACACTCAAACACACACGTCTCACATCCCCGGGTGGTTTAATGAGCCGCGGCCCGGAGACAGCCACAGGGAGGAGCTGCTGGGCTCAGCAGAAGACAGCTGCTCCGGCCTGGGTGTGCGTGTGGGGGAGAGAGAGAGAGAGAGAGAG